CTACTAACTACCATCAGTAGGTCAGTGTTTATACTTCATCCAGAACCTAGTTCTGATGGTAACTGGCATCCAAGTAACTTTTAAAATAAGTAGTGCCTGGACTCCAAATAGGCTTACCAAAGAAAATTATCCAAATTTTAGTCACGTGCTCTCATCAATGAATTGAGATGACAATTAGGTGAGCTGCTTCAAATACCAAGTGTAGAAGCCTCAGGGCCCTCACTAAGGGTTTCTTGGTCTTGTCGGTGTCAGTATTCAAAGGGCACCCATTCATTTGTATTCATACACGTGTGTGCGGCACATATGGGGGAACACAGGTGATACAGCATATAATATAGATGGTGTCCCTACCATACATCACTTGGAGGTAATGAAAACACGATCAACATTTATGTAGATAACAGAAGAACAATGGTGCATTATGCTTTCAGATGGCGGCCTCATCTACCTCCCAGACTCACAGTGACCATAAGGGAAATACACGACAGCTTCCGACTTGGCCCACACCCATTGTACATTGTAGGTTCATCTGGCATTGGAACAGCGATGTCCCCTCACCAAATACAAAGCACAGGAGAAATATTGTCACCACCTAAGACCCCTGGGGCTGGGGGCTGGGAGGGAACATGACAGGTGGGAGGTGAGCAGTGGTAGAAAGTGTAAAACTACCCCCAATAAAGAGTTTACCATCTAGTCCCATCCCACCCAACCACTTCCCTTCATTGTAAGTCCCTGGTCCAAATGCACCATCAAGAAAGCTATTTGTTTTCTTCTGTTGATCAAAAGATGTGATTTTTCGTGAAGTAATGATGCATACAGGGTTTGATATAAAGAATGAGAAAGTGAGGGGGGTTAAATCAGGGAAGAAAAGAAAAGAAAAAGAAGAAAGGGAGGAGAAAGGGGGAGGAAGAAATAAAACAAAATGAAAGGGAAGGGAGGGAAGGGAAGTACCTCAGTCCTAGGTCACCTAATATCAATTTGTGAAAGGGTTGGGCTTCTGGCTGCTCAAGATAACTAAAATTAGATGTCTGTCACCCCTAACAGTTACAGTGTGGCCCTATGAAGCATGTACAACAAGGTTGTCTGTAGCCTTCCCAATCAAAAACATACTGGCCGTGCACACACCAAGCCATTTCCCCCTGAAGATGAGCCAATCCCCTAACCTGCTGGCCACCTCCCACCTCCTGTGATCCCAGGACACATCCCTACTTCCACAGGAGGGAGAAATTCAGAGTGCTCAGAAACCACACCCAATCCTCTCTCAGCCCCCTGACTGGGACAGTGAGGGTCTGCAGTGTAGTAAATTACTT